TCAATATTATTATCATCATTATCACAATCGACATATTGATGCTCATCATCACCATCATCAATATAATTATCATTATTATCACAATCGACTTATTGATGCTCATCATCACCATCATCAATATAATTATCATAATTATCACAATCAACATATTGATGCTCATCATCACCATCATCAATATAATTATCATAATTACCACAATCGACATATTGATGCTCATCATCATCATCATCAATATAATTATCATCATTATCACAATCGACATACTGATGCTCATCATCACCATCATCAATATAATTATCATCATTATCACAATTAACATACTTCTGCTCTCAACACCATCATCAATATAATTATCATAATTACCACAATCGACATATTGATGCTCATCATCACCATCATCAATATAATTATCATCATTATCACAATCAACATATTGATGCTCATCATCCCCATCATCAATCTAATTATCATCATTATCACAATCGACATATTGATGCTCATCATCACCATCATCAATATAATTATCATCATTATCACAATCGACATATTGATGCTCATCATCACCATCATCAATATAATTATCATAATTATCACAATCAACTTACTGATGCTCATCATCACCATCATCAATATAATTATCATAATTATCACAATCAACATATTTATGCTCATCACCACCATCATCAATATAATTATCATCATTATCACAATCAACATATTGATGCTCATCATCCCCATCATCAATTTAATGATCATAATTACCACAATCAACATATTTATGCTCATCATCACCATCATCAATATAATTATCATAATTATCACAATCAACATATTTATGCTCATCATCACCATCATCAATATAATTATCATAATTATCACAATCAACATATTCATGCTCATCATCACCATCATCAATCTAATTATCATAATTACCACAATCAACATATTTATGCTCATCATCACCATCATCAATATAATTATCATCATCACAATCAACATATTTATGCTCATCATCACCATCATCAATATAATTATCATCATCACAATCAACATATTTATGCTCATCACCACCATCATCAACATAATTATCATCAATGCAAGGTGTATCACTTTTTTCGTGCAATAGCATTTGCAGGAACCCAGGACGGTGCATTTAAGTCCAATCTTGCTGGGCTAGGGGTTCAATAAGTAGCTTCTGCAGATGTTAAAGCACGAAAAAGGATGCATTGGCGCTATTCCGGCATAAAAAATAACGTCTGATTTGGTAATTTGGCATTTCGGTATTTGTTTTATGTATAAAACCTTATTATCATTTTATTATGATTTTTATCATACTCAATTGAATGCATGCACAAAAGATATCAAATTAGAAATAATCATCGATTGATATTCCTGATAAAACATAACAAAAAACGCATATAACCATTCTCATATTTTAGATTATAATTTAGAGCACTCAGTTAAAATGCAGAAAATCAAATATCTTTAACTTCTGGGTTATAAAGCTGGGATTTTTATTATTGGTGATTTTTATTTATAAAATATTAATCAAAAGAATATATATATGTTAATAAGAAAAAGACGCCTCTTATCAAAATCCCAGTAAAATGTGCTTTTTTAATATATTCCCGTGTTTTGGGAAAACATAGCATTCGCACAAAAGTTCTACCATTAGATAATAATATAATATTATATATGAGTGAAATTTTTAGTTTCTCTCACAATGAATTACATAATTTACGCTCAATCGCTCATAAAGATCTTGTACTGAAAAGTATACCTCATACAAATTATTTAAAGGATTCTTTTTCTTATTTCAGTATTGACGTTTGGAATAAATTACTATCAAACAATGTTCGACTTTACAATCTTTCAAAAACAACTGTAAAATTTATTTTCTAAGTTTACAGTTAGATACATGATGAAAATTGATGACTTTATAGTTTAATTGTTGTAAATGTTAATATCATCATTTTTTTTCTATTTTTTTTTAATCATTACGAGTTTATCTTTAATTACCATAATTAATATGAGTGTCAGTCGGATGAATGAATAAAAATTATCTAACCTTTACATTATTTTTTTTCTTTTTTATACATACCAAAAGATTTTAAATATTTGTATAATTCTACATTTTTTTCTTTGTTATTGTTAAATCAGAAGGCCATACTGAAAATAAGTGTACTTGTTACTGTGAACTTTGTATGTTACCTTCTATAAATAAAGATTTTATTATTATTATTATTATTATTATTATTATTATTATTATTATTATTATTATTATTATTATGATACGAATGGCGAACACATCAAACGGCACGTGTTTTAGTGCATAAAGGCGTTTTATGCTGTAAATTCCTCCAGATATGACACAGATAATTTTGATCCAGTTAAATATTTGTTTCTTTATAATTAAAATATATTTTTCCACATGAACAAGTATAATGACAGGAATATATTTATTTAAAAAACAAAAAATGAAATAAGATTTGAGTGGATAAGAGTGGACGCTTGTTTCTTCTTTCTTTCTTTTTAATTCCCTGCAACATATATTTTTTTCAAGATGCTCCTGTGTTGGATAATAAAAAGTATATGTAAAAAGAAAGAAAGAAAATAACTTGACATAGTTCATTTTGGAAAACAATATGTTTAATTCAAGTATGTTTGATTAAATATAAAACCATACGTGTAATTATCACGACTCCACTGTCGCGTAATTATGTATTACCATTTGTTTTCCGAGATCTTGTTTAACATTAAAACATTTTAAAAGTTTACATAAACCCTCAGATAAAGACACATTTAGAGGCAAAATTGCTTTCGGAGAAAATAGTATTTTACTTTACAAAATTCAAATAAGTTTGATTTATTATAAGATCGTACGCATTATAATCAAGGTACTACCGTTATTTCTTTGGCACGATATAATCACACACGTGCACTATTCCTATAATATAAATTATATTTTTCGCTAATAAAAGAAACTCTACGTGGTTGCACTTTTATAAATAACCATTATGTAATTATCAACTTACCTTCAAACGCTTCGATTTGTTAAGAAAGTGTTATTCTAATTTAAGGAGAAATGACACATCAATTCACATCTATTTACATCTCTGACAAAACATAACAAACACAAATATGTATTATCAATATCTAAAATCACAACTGTCTTGAACACTAAGTGAAGGTACAATTAATGTAACACATTAATATAAAGTCGGAGTTTTGAAGCTTTTTTAAAAATTATTTATTAGATCAGAATTATATTTATTCATAACGAAGATTGTCATATTTAAAATCGCTGCAACACATGCTTTTTAAAATCTCTTTAGAAAATTATTTTTTTATGTTATTTTAAGTTTAAAATAGAAATGAAGAAGTTACAGCAAAAGTAACATTTGGATTTGAAGTATGGCACAGATTAATTCGCGTTCTTTCGTTACCGAAAACAAAAAACGCCCATAAGAACTACAAACAAAACAATATATCTCGTACTCTTTTTTTCGGTTCGGTTCATTGTAACCGTCATGTTATTCTTTAATTTTTATTATTGTGAATGTCGTTTTTAATGAGCTCAAAGAAAAATATTTAAGTACTTGAAGTTCAATCAAATCGAAATTTTAATAGAAAAAATATAAATCACAATTTTTTTAGATACGAAATACCCGAATCAACGCTTAAGCAACACCTTTGGAAATTTTGACAAGTTTGTAACTCATGAAAGCAGCGTAAAATAATTTGTAGGAGGATGCATGGTAATATATAACTTTAGATGTGAAGAAAAAGACTTGGTTAAAAAGAACTGAAGTATTTGAAACTTAACTTAATTGTAAAAGAACTTATGAATGCAGATAGTTAGTTTCCAGAACTCCTTTAGATTAATAAATAAGACGTATATCATGTCAGAAAATCCTTTATGTTATTTTACTAATTTTACTAATTTTCACTATTTTACTATGACCAACGAGATCCCGAGATTTCAAATTGGTAATTTGAAAATAACCAATGAAATTCATACAAATATTCAGTTCTTTTCTGTAAATATTACAGAAAGTCCAATCGAAAGCAGACGGCCTTCGGCCGAAAAAATCCAGATTTTTCAATGAGTCGTCACCAGATCCTATGGTATTAAATCACCTTGAAATATGTGTGTCACTTAACGGCGCTTAAAGCTAGTGGATGGGAAAGCTTAAATTGATATTTTGCCAATTCCAGGAGATAATGCAACAGAACAGGTGAACGTCAAAATAAGTTTATATATTGCAATATGATTCCTTTCAATCTTATCTTTTTCTTCGCATGAACCAGAAGTGGCCAAAGGAAATATCCATCGGAATAGAACTGTTTTTGTTTTTTTTAAATTCATTAAAATAGTTGGACAATCTTTTTCTAATTTAGGCTGACTATGTCTTATTCAACTATCTGTTGGCTGATCATTATTATAACATTCATTTTCTTTTATATATATTCAATCATCTAAAATTGACTATAAAAAGATTACCATAATCTCAATTTAAAAAGATGTTATTACACTCAATACACATGGAACATATCTACATATCTCACTTTAAAGCCTCTATTCTATGAGACATACAGGCCTAATCAAATATTTAAAAAAGAAATATATTAAAGTGCAAAATGCAATACTTAGATATAACAAAATAAAATAATGTATCGTCTGCTATTGTTATCCGACTCAATATATTTCACCTACTTCATTCCTTATTTTTAGTTAACCATTGGCATCTAACTACATGTTATTACTTTAAAATATCACTTAAATTCATGTTTATGAGAAACAAATTTCTGACCCCAATGTCCGGTCGCTTGTCTGATGTTAAAAATTGCATGTGTACCTGTGATCAACAATGGGGCCCAAAGTGCGGTATTACAAAAGAAAAATGTTTAAACTAAAATTAGACATAGAAATTTAAATAAATTGTTATGATAATGATATATAAATATTAAATTTATGTTAGCATCAAAATTATGCTTACTTGAATTTCCTCCACCCATAGCTTTATTCCAAATATCGGAAGTGCGTGCAACATCACTCGTTGCGACTTTATATAATTCAAAAGCAGTTATTCCATTGGTTGCGTTAAGTTAGTAATCGCCCATTTATGATTTTTCATTTCAATCATTTTCCTACCAGGATACGTAATTGCAAAGTGTTTTGTGAAGACATTGGCTAAATATAGAACAGTGTTTCAAGTGAAGTGTTAAAAAAGGAGGAACGTTTAAATAAGGGGGAAAGACTATCATTTTTGGGAATAATAGACTTCAGATTAGAAGAGGTAAGTGGAAATTGTGATTTTGTTATGTTTTTACTTTGAAAACCCTGTATTTACTCTGTTTCAGATATGATAGAATTTGAATTAAGACTTTAAGATTAAGATTAGCGTGCATAATTAAATCAAAAGGTTTAACTTAACATGTACCGAAAACAGTTTTCATAAAATTATACGTGTAGACCTGGGATTGTCAATATTTATTGCTAAATTGCACTCAGTTTCTAAAGCAGAATTCTATTTTACCATGTCAAAAGACGAGAAATACGATATTTGTATCAAAGTTTTATTTTGAAAACAAAATCATTCAGCTACTTGGTGTTTTGTTTTCAGTGTATCTTAAGCATATTTTATAAAAGCAGAATTGTTAACCTATAACAACAGTCTAAAAGAATCGTTTATGCACTTCGGTAATTTTTAGTATGTTTTTTGTGTGTTTATTTTTGAGGGCGTCTGTTCGAACAATAATTAAGCAGAACAGAATAATGGCAGTAAAATATTTTTCTCTGTTTCCAAAATGCGTTTTCTGTAATTACTGACCATGTAGACAATATATTAGGGTTACATAATTTTTTTCTGCATCTCGAAAGCTTCTTATTACTCTAGTTCATTTTACCAAAATACATTGAAAGTTTTCTGCATCCATTAGTGTCTTGAACTAAAGTTATTGTGTTATGTCTTGATGGGAAGAATTATGAAGATAATAATTGCATGTACGTAGAAATGTTCAGTGATAAATTATGGAATGAAAATGACATTTAACTTGATTAAATTACTCATTGTATCAATTCGTACAGTTTAGTTTATGTAATCTATTATTCTGCTATAAGTTACGACAAATAAAAAGAAAATTCCTATATCCATTATCCGTGACGACATGTGTACCGAATGGGCACAGTATTCAAAACACTTATTCTGACATATACGTTGATTAATACTTTATGAAAGGCGGTAATTCGCATATTAGATCAAATTGATTATTTAATCACATTTTCAATATAATAACAATGATATGATAAAAGCAGAAAATTCACTTTTTTTAGTATTGAGACAAGAATAAAGTATGAAAAATGAAAAGAGGATTAATATAAAATTATGCAACATACCTTAAGTTGTATTCACTAAACTTTTCCTCAATGTGATCAATTATAAATGATCTATGAATTTCAAGTTGATAAAACAATACTATGAATTTTATATAATTATTTTTATTTTATTTTTTTTATGGGGGGTGTGGTTATTTGTATTTTCGTTTCCAATTTTATTCGGATTTTTTTTAATTGCCAATATTTCAGGAGGCAAAAAAATAAATAAATTGCGATCAGTTATAAGTCAGGAAATGATTTGTTCTTAATCTAACGTATCGATTTATTTTAGTATTTCTAGTTTTTATAATCTGTAATATATATATTATAAATTTGTGAATTAAGTGACCAGTCGATAATTTTGAATAGAAATAAAGCTAGCTTACTGTCGTGCGTGCTCATGAACTACCATGCTGTGGTTTGTGTTAATTAAAAGACAGAAAGGCAAATTCAATTTGTTCGTTGAAACAACGACGAAAGATAAAATACCTTTTGTAAATAAGTAAACGAGACGGAGCACTTAACTGGGTTTAAATCTTTTTATTTAGACTGAAACAATACGCCGTAAATAAATGCGACATGATTTAACAAGACGGAACACTCACATTTACTAACACGCTTGAAAATATTGAAATAAATAACATATTATACAAGTAAAACGATAATACTTTCGAACATATAACATTTCTTTAAAAAAGTAATTTCTGGAGATAATTATACTTTCAGAATTCCCGTTGTACAAACACAAAGCTAACTTTATTCACAAATGGCAACAGTCTTAATTTATCACTACCCCCTTTAAAAGAACGTCAAAAATGAAGAATGCATTTATATATCCCGCATTATAAGATTGACAATAAGAATACTTTAATAAGTTCTTGCAACGTTTTATAGCACTCTCCTCACAATTAAAAAATTCGCATAACCCTGGCGGCAATTTCTCAAGCATGATTCATTGTTTTAGTTGAAATATTGGACATTTGAATTTAAGATATAAAAATATTATTAACTAACACGACATCTGTTTCGGTTTGGTGAATATGATAGATATGTGAAATTGGCGGCCTAGCGGCGTGAAGTTGGTTGGCGGCCCAGCGGCCTGACGACGTAAAGTCAGCGACCTAGTAGTTTTAAAGATATTTCTTGAAATTTTTATGGCAGCCTAGCGGTCCAGTGGCCCAGCGGCCTGTCAACTTTAAAGTTTACAGTAAAAACAATATCATCGGGATTAAATGAAGTATTTTTTTTATTTTTTGATAAAAAAACATTTGCATAAATATTTATACAACAATAATTTTAGAATTGATTCAGATCATACCCTGAATGAAATGTTGAAAAAAGGATAGATGGTTGGGATTTGGAGTGTGCACCAGTGCTAATAAGTCTTTATTCAGGTGAAAAATAGATACCAGGATGTATTGAATGTTTCCATGTTGTTATTTTAACGCTATTATGTTCAATACTTGACAACATTGATTTGTATTAAATTGGTTTATGTGGTAATTTGCGAGTGTAAAATTATATATATAATCGAGCACGATAAACATAAATTTCGTCAGTTGAAGCATAATCTAGGTATAGGGCAGTACGTATTTTAAAGGCGCGGCACAGCCGCTCGACAAATTAATTTTATAAATACGTACATATAAACTTCAAGCTGTTCAGTGTTTTAAATTACTATTTAGCTTCTATGGATAATATTTTACGAGTTGAATCTTCGCAGTAAGTATGACCGCTTATTAATATGAAAATTAGTTAAGCTAGTGGGTTCGAAACCTTGAGGAAACTTTTATTTTTTCAAGTTTTAATTCTTTCTGCTGAGAAAAAATAAATACATTATTACTAATAGGAACTTAAAGATATTGTACTTTTGTTTCTCCTTAACTGTGTTAAAATATTCATACTTTCATAAGAAATGAAAAAGTGAGATAGAGGAATAAAGAGATGAAGATACTTTGATATAAAAGTACAATGATAAATAATCGATTAAATAAAAAAACACATTATGATAATGTAGTTTCTTAATTGAATAATACTGAAGGAATTTCTTTTCTTCTGCCATGAAGTAGGATTCTTCAGAATTTAGTGCTCTACCGATTTAGCTATTGAGACATTTAATCCCCACTTTTATTATTATCAGTCAAAAGTACAATCAATCAGGACGTGTAACATTTCATTTTAAAATGTATTGTTCCGTACTATAATAGACTGTTCTTATCGTGCTCGGATTATAGTAAAATGTATGGAAGCATAAACCTATGGAAGCACTGGAGGGCCCTTTTGACTTCTGACTTAATGACTTTTGACTTGGTAGTTATGACTTTTGACTTGGGAGTTTTGACTTTTAACTCAAGACTTATTACTTCTTAGTTGTGAAATTAATGACTTAAACCACACTTTAAGAGAGCATGTAATGAGCGAAGATGGCTGTGTTGTGCCAAAATATGAAATTCGTGTTTGCGTGTTGTTTTCTGTGCACTCTGTTGAAGATAACAGCTGGTATGGTGCCAGCTTACCTGCCTTTGTCGTCTCCGACTGTTGATAAAGCATCATTCATTGAAGAATATTTCAAACAAGGTTTTAAATACAGTGAAATTCTTGGATATTTGCTACTTAAGCATGGTATTTTGTTGTCACTCCGTCAGCTAAAAAGAATCTTGAAGAAGTTGAACCTGAAACGTTGAGGTGTACATTTGCAATCGCAGTTGAAATACATTGTTCGTAATGCATTATAGTGGACAGTCTGTCGGTTATCGGACGATATGGCGCCGCCTGAAAGTGAATCAAAATATGGATGTAAGCCATAAAGATGTTATGGACATAATGAAAGCAATAGATCCAAATGTTGTTGAAATGAGAAAAACACATCGACTTAAAAGACGTTTCTATTTTGCAAAAGGGCCAAACAATATTTTGCATTTAGATGGTTATGATAAGTTGAAACCATTTGGATTTTGTATGCACGTAGCGGTAGATGGTTTTAGCAGGAAAGTTATCTGGTTAGAAGTTTCTGACACTAAAACGATCCAAAACTGATTGCGATATATTATTTGGATGCATTGAAGCGCATTGAAAAAACACCTCGCATACTTCGTTGCGATGCTGGAACAGAAAACAGTGTTGCTTGTCTTCTACAGCAGTTCTTTCGGAATGAAGCAACCGACCACTTTGCTGGTAGTCGCAGCGTTATTGTTGGAAGAAGCACTTCTAAACAGCGCATTGAAAGATTGTGGGGTACGCTACGTCAGCAAGGGATTTGCGTGATTCTGGTCGTTTCAATGAACTCGACCAGATACATTGTGAAAATTTGAAATTTTGTTTTATGAACCTAATACAAACACACCTGGATAGAATTGCTCAACAGTGGAATGTACATGAAATTAGACCTCAGCACAGTTCCGACGCACATTACGGAAAACCTGACATAATGTATTTTTTACCTGAAACGTTTTGCTCGCTTGATTATGGTACGGTGGTTGACAAACGTGATGTGACCTGTTATAAAAACATTTATTCAGTTCTAAAGAGAAAGTTTGGCGAATTCAGCGAATTGGTTGATATGTTAAAGCCCGACCTCCAAATGCCAGTAGATGCCGATTCAGCATTGAATTTGTTCCTGGAGTTGAATGATATATTGGCAAACTCGTATGAAGACTGAAGTCTTTTTAAGCCATAAAGTTGTTGTGAGAGAACAAATGATCAACACGATCCATCA